TCAAAGGGTTATCGTTGCTATTCTCCGACTTTATGTCGATACTTTATCTCGGCAGATGTCTCCTTCTTTGAATCAGTCTTCTTTTTTGGCTACACTACTACTCCTACATGGACGCTGATCAGTCTCTCTCCCTGTCGACTCCTTTGAATACCTTCAACCTTTTTCTGTCCTGTGTATGACTCTCCTTTCGTCAACTCTTCTAATGATTTACAACATGTTTCACCTGATGTTTCCATGGACTCACATCCGACTGAATCTCCTCCCTTAGCTTCGATCCCACCTTCTGCTAGTGACCTTCCTATTGCTCTCCAAAAAGGTACCCGAGAGACTCGCCCTCCAGCCAGGTATTCAGTTAATATTAGTTACCATTGTCTATCACATCATATTTTGCATGTCTTTTCTCCTTGTCTTCTGTGTTTATTCCTAAAACTACAGGTGAAACACTTTCACATTTCGGATGGAGACAAGCTACGATTGATGAAGTGAGTGCTCTTCAATGGCACATGATATCTGGTCCCTCTTCCATCTAGGAAGTTTGTTGTTGGTTTCCGTTGAATTTGTTTTATTAAGGTTGGTCCTGATAGTCAAGTGGATCGTTTTAGAACTTGCTTGGTGGCGAAGGGTTTCACTCAAGTGTTTGGACTAGATTGTAGTAACACTTTTTTTCCAGTGGCGAAGAGGTATATTGTTTGCCTCTTTATTGTCATGGATGCTATCCGCCACTAGCCTCTCTCTCAACTTGATATATAGAATGTTTTTCTTCATGGTGATCTTGCGGAGGAAGTTTATATGGAACAACCTCCTGGATTTGTTGTTCGGGAGGAGTCATGTCTTGTTTGTCATCTCCACAAGTCTTTATATGGTCTCAAGCAATCTCTAAGAGCTTGGTTTGGTAAATTTAGCAGTGTTGTTCAACAATTTGGTATGACTCGGAGTGAAGCTTGTCATTCTCTCTTTTATCGTCATTCAACTTCCGGGTCTATCTACTTGGTGGTATATATGGATGATATTTTCATCACAGGTAGTGATAATCATGGGATTACTTAGTTGAAGCAGCATTTATGCATCATTTTCAGACCAAGAATCTTGGGAAACTTCGATATTTCTTGGGAATCAAGGTGGCCCAATCTGAAGATGGAGTTGTGATATCTCAGAGGAAATATGCTCTGGATATTCTTTAAGAGACTGCTTTGTTAAATTCTAATTCTATTGATACCCCTATGGATTCAAGTGTCAAGCTTCTATTGAATCAGGGGGAGCCATTTTTAGATCTTGAGAGATATTGGTCGAAAAACTGAACTACGTCATAGTCACTCGACCTGACATTTCATTTGCAGTTAGTGTGGTAAGTCAGTTTCTTAATTCTCCATGTCAAGAACACTGGAATGCCGTTATTTGTATTCTTAAATATTTCAAGGCATTTCTTGGAAAAGGCCTTGAATATAAAGATAAAGGTCACGTTAAAATTGTTGGTTACTCTGATGCTAACTGGACCTGTTGTCCTACTAATAGGAGTTCTACTACTGGATATTGTGTCTTCATTGGGGGCAACATGGGTTCCTGGAAAAGCAAGAAGCAGAATATAAGTGTCAGATCAAGTGCTGAAGCAGAATACCGCTTCATGGCTACTACCACTTGCGAGCTCATTTGGCTTAAATAACTTCTTAGAGAGCTCAAGTTTGGAGACATTGGACTTGCAACTCTCTTTTGTGATAACTAAGTAGCACTACACATTTCTTTCAATACAGTGTTTCATGAAAGAACTAAGCATATTGAAATAGATTGTCACTTTGTTCGAGAGAAGGTCCTTGCTGGCCGTGGCGGACCCAGGAAATTATATGACAGGGGGCGAAAAATTATATTATCATTACGAAAAGGCAATGCCAATTTTGGTTGGATGATAACACTGAGAATACAAAAATATCTGTTAAGAAGAACCTAATAAAATTACAAAAAAATTTGCCAATTTTTTGATTGGAATGTCAATTTTCTGCTTCCGATAATAGTGGTCCAATGCATCCTCTATTTCAATGAGGAACTAGCCTTAAGACCTTATATTTTGTTTGTAAGATCAATTTTTTATTGTTTACCTTCATGCCTTCTGGTGTTATAATTGCACTTTCTTTGATTTTTTCAGAATCTTATTTTCTCACTTAACTGTTATTTAGCAGAAGCAGTAAATTAATTAATGTGTTATTTATTTTTAGCATTTGGTCCCAACTAATAATTGATAACTATTATTGACCTTTTTTCTTTGCCAACAAAGTCAAACTTAAATACTCTTCTCCTGAGTTCTAATATGACAATCTGTACAGATTTTTAATGATTATAAAAAAAAATAGATAATCAATCAATATAAAATTAAATTCTAGACAAATTTGACAAGTAGAGTGAATATGCATTACTTACTGAACTCTTCTTTATATAAAATGAAAAAACCAGCTTTCCACATTGATTGGGGAGGGTAGCAGACCAAGAACAAAACCGGTTATATATGTTGGCACATGGCAGGTTGAATCTGATAAATAATAGTTATCTCTAATTGGGTGCAATGAACGGGTGGAACACTTTTCTTATGAATAGCATCGCTTGTCTTTCACTTTTTAAAAGCACTTTCAAAATTTTGCTTTTTCACACTATATTGCATATCATATAGTAGAACATATTTTCATATTTAAGAGTGGGGCGGAGGCCCATCCGAGGCCCCCATGTAGGTCCACCCCTGCTTGCTGGTGAAATTACAACTAATTTTGTATCCTCTAATAATCAATTAACAGATATATTTACAAAGTCTTTGAGGGGTCATCGAATAGAGTTTATATGTAACAAGCTTGATGCTTATGATTTATATGCTCCAGCTTAAGAGAAAGTGTTGGTATTATTTGTAAATATTTATTTTTTTATTCCATTAGAATTTGAGTTAGGTTTGAATTAAGCCCATTAATATTTCTATATATATATATATATATATATATATATATATATATTAATATTATATACTCCTATATTAATTAAATGTAAAGATTTATTTTAATGTTCCTTACATCTCTTGTTATTCTAGACAAACGATAACCAACTCATAAGAGTTCTCTTAACTCTCTTGCGTTTGTATTCACATATTCTTGGACCGTGCAGTAATTGTTAGAAGCAATACAAGTGTGACAACATCCATAACCACTACTTCTGGACCTGGAAATTGTGCAGTGACACAAGTCTGACCCGAATGCTACCTGTAATATTCAACACCATATTCACGAACACGTGTTCGGCTCAGCTTCAAATAAAACTTCTCTATTTGCCAAGAAGTGTGTTTTTGTTAGTTTCCATATCGAATAGTTGGAAAAACATACATGTTTACTTTGGTTGGTGTTCTAGAATTTTTCTATAAAGAAAGTTCAGTAGCAAAGCAATCTCCAAGCACAACAATCTCTTGGTGTTCAGTCGCATTCGGTTACTTCACGAGCACAGTGGTTGTTAAAGTGGTAAACAAGATGAGTGGAGGGTGGCTGGCAAGCGATAACTTAAATAGAAGGCATTTTGACCATAAATAATATAAAAAACAAACATTTTCCCTCGTTCATTCAAAAGTCAAATATTTTGCAAAAATAATACAACGAGACATAGGGATATGCACATTCGCATATAAAATAATACGCGACTTGTGCAAAAGTTAGTTTGCATGTTGCCACAAATCGTGTACCATACGCAATTTAAACACGCACAATCCCATGCGTAACTCGCGCAACACAAAGTAGGCACGCACTAATTTTTACACAAGTCACGTATCAATGAGAGGTAGTGTCAAAATGGACTGAAGTTCGTGAGCCAGCCGGCAGTCCTATATTTGGCCCTAATCCATTAGGATCTTTTTGTGATAGGGCTTTTTTTAAGATTAACCTCCAAAACCATATAATTTAGCAGATTGAATTAGAGTTTATATGCGAGTCAAACATTTTTTTTCATCAAAATTTTTATTATTTAATAAAATAAAAAATAGAAAAAAATATACAAATTTAAATATTTATAAATATAAAGTAAATTATAAAAATAAAAAAGAAATTTTCAACAATGAATATTTTAATTTGATGATTAAAAATAATTAGTTTAATACTATATTACAGTAGATAACAATTTCAATTACCAAAAACGAAATTTAAAATCAACGTTTCATGTTTAATTATTTATTATTTTTTGTTACTTACATGTTCCAAAATCTATTTCCATTGACATACTACTTCAACTACTGTAATTGACACAGATAACCTTGTCATTAGTGACCTTCGTTCATGGTTGTTTCCAACATCCTCCAATCACTATTGTCGTTGTCCTCTGCAATTGGCATCCTCCTATCCTATCATAATCGTTGCCAGAGTCTCTCTAATAAACCATAATTTAATTCTTAATCATATTGTTATACTTATGTCTCAATTCTTTTTTTATCTTGAATAAAAAAAATTCGCAATCAATTACAATTATGACCAAATTGAAATATTTAAATTATCAATATAAATATTTATTTTATTAAAAAAAATTATTATGTAGAACTTATACTTTGAATAGAATATTTTATGAAAGTGTTAAATATTTATTTATTAAAATAATTTTGAATGTATTAATATGATAAATAAATAAATAAAATTTAAATTATAATTTTGGATGACCTTATAAGACTTTTAGCCCATGCATACTTTAATTATTTGACCCTGCAGCTTTTTTGTCCTAATCCGTACGGGCAATACATGGATTGTTTGGATTATAGATATGCCAAAATCTTGATGGTAAATTTGACGAATGGAGGTCTACCATACAGAAAGTAATCACGTTCAAGTTGGTAATAACTAGCTGCAACTTCCGGTAACCATTAAACTAGGATCTATTACATCGAGGTATTTCATGGGTACTGTTCATCATGTATCTAAAGTGCTATTGTTAATTGGGTTTTGTTAAGATTCCCACAACCAACCCGGAAAGATACCATAGAATTCTTAAATCAAATATAAGGCAAGATAAAGCCAAGAGCCCAAGACCAAGATCCATACTGCAAGTTTAATCTTCAATACACTGTGCTAACAAGACAAGGCTTCCTCAAAATTTCAGCATGTCAACAGTGTCATATTACATTAACGATGACTGAGTTCTTGTAGATTGCATTAATAACCAAACATAAAGCACACTGCACACTCAATAACTCCCCCAAAGATTTTTTTTTTTTTTAATACCGGGTAACCACTTAGCAAGGTAAAAAAAAAAAAAAACACATTCCAAAATAGAACACCAGCCTAGTCCATACTACTACATCAAAAGTGCCAGTGAAGAATTAGGTTCAAATCCTAGAAGGTTACTAAAGGATGTAAAAGAAAATTATTTTTCTCTTCTTTCTCCTCTCCTATTTTTGGTATTTACAAGACCAATCAATCATGAATGCGTGAATGATATTTTACAAGAATTAGTGAACTCTTGTATATAACAAGATAAACAGAAGAATCTACACAGCCTAAAAAAGTTTCAACAAAAATATTACAACTTACAAGAGTATCTCCTACCATTTCACATCCAGTGTAAGAGCCTCCGGAGGAAGAAGAACAGGTCGCAATTTTGTATACGACATATTGGACATCAAATTAGCCCAGGAAACTGAATCAGATTCAATAAACGGTTTCACTTTCTTGATCATAAGAGGCTTGAGCTTGTTTTCCTCAACTCGGGCCAATATCTCAAACCAAACCCTTTCTACACTGGGCATTGTTCTCCAATCAGGTATTGTACGACTAAGAGTAACATTATTCCCGATATCTCTTTCCAATTCTAAGGGGAACCTTAAAGCAGTTGATGCTCTAATATTTGCCTTAAGGAAGCCAAAAAACTGATCTTGAAGGATCTTACGACTAAACAGACTCCTCAAAATTTTCTCCAACATACTTAATCTCAAACTTAAGGAATCAATGGGGCAGGCCCGCTTTCTAAACACATGACCATGGTAACATTTTTCTGGAAGCAGCTCAACAGTGTCCTCCGAAATCAAAGTAGTTCCTATACATGCATAAGGGTTCCGAGCTCTATAAGCTACCAAAGATGCAGACCCTGATATGCGAATGGGAATAAGAGGCACGCACGTCGATTGCAGAAAGGGCCAAAAGCCAATCTTCCCCTTGCTACACATGGTACTTCCATTCATTTGCAGATCAAAATCAGACAAGTAAAAAAGAGAGATTTCTTGTGATCTTCTTACTTCCACTGTAATGCCTTCACCAACAAGGATGTGTTTCAAACCAGTATATGAAACATTCATCTGCAAAACAGGGTCAAAACTCAGAAACTATTCAAATATCAAGACTGCTATTTACTTATGAACCAAGAATTTACTAGTATACATATCAGAGAACAAAAATCTTAGGCCCCGTTTGAATACCGTTTCTAAAAACAAGTTTTTGGATTACAGAAAAAAAAAAAAAATCATTTGATAACACCTGTTTTGTAAAAATAAAATAAAAATTATAACTATTTTGTTGTTGTCAGAATCGAATTTAGAAAACATGTATGAGTTGGTTTTGTTTTGTATTTTGACTTTTAACTTACAAAACAAAAAACAAAAAATACAGAAAACAATTGTTTCCATAACTATTCTACAAAACAGTTTTAATAACAAAAAGCAAGAACACAATCAAACAGACCCTTAATAATTCCAGGAAAAATTTCAACTTTCCCAACTGAGCTAGGAGAAGAACAACACAAACGACAGTAAAACATCTTTGACTCTTGAGACATCATTTGGTACATAAAGAAGATGTTCATTGCTAAGTCAAAACATTGAAGGAATATTTAAGGCTAAAACAAATACACATAAGAAATAACAACTTGATATCAACAGCAACGGCTATATCCTATAGTAATATAACACTTGATCCCTTGTTTTTAGTCTCTAGATTTTTCCTTCTGTCCAAGAATTTCTGCCATCAAATTAAAATCCATATATATGAAAAAGGCGAACAATAACTTCATATTTAAAAAAAAAAAAAAATAGAAACTTCAACTCATAGCATATAGAGATCTGAATTGAATTCAAAGAAAAAACAATCAAACATGGCGTACAGGCAAGGATAGCGATAAGTGGTGAAGACCATCGACCCACAACTCAAAGGGACCTTCCAATTTGAGGTCATCAAGCACTGCGAAGGAACTAACTCGATGAATCAGAGACCCTAAATCGGGTTTGGGTGTTCTGAACTTGTTCCAAGACGAAACTTGCTCCGAGAATTTCAGGGTCAAGTTATTCTTACCCGACCCGATTCGGAACTCATGGCTCTGGGAGATTCCGAACCTAACTTTCCCAACATCCAATTTGAAAACTCTCACATCCTTCAAATCCCACTTCTGTTTCGCCGATATTGCCTTCAAAACATCCTAATTTCGATGAATCCAAAAAATAAAAAAATTCAGAGTTATTTTTTGTTTTCACTTTCTGAATTCTGATAGCGAAGAATAAATAAATAAATAAATAAATAATAAAGATTGGAGAGTAGGAACCTGCAAAATGTGGGTAAGATTGGAGTGGATGGAAGAAGCGTTTGCAATAATAGGAGAAGAAGATCTAAACGCAGCGATTTGAAGGAAAAAGATGAAGAATGAAAGTTGGAAACGACCAGTTATCATCGTCGTCGCGTCAGCGGTGGTTACCTCCGGAGAGGCCAAGGTATCGAAACGGTACGTTGTTTCTTGTAGTATGTCGGATTGAGCTGTCAAATTTGGCCTAGCTGTTCCGGATTACGTTATAAGTTTTTTTTTTTTTTTGGTCTATATATATTTTGTTTTTTTAGCAACAATTTAAATATCTGAATGTGTTATATTGTTATTTGTTGTGGGCATTTTTACTCGTCAGCTCTTGTATATTTAAATATTTTAAATTTAAGGTGTATTGATAAATTTATCTTAAATTTGTTTAAGGTAAAAGTGGTTGTTCTTTCAAACGACATAAAGTTACGTCATTTTAAGAGAGAGATAGACATTAAATATTTTTTTATTTAAAATTTAAATTACAAAAGTCACTCACTTTCTTCTCATGATTTTTATTTTTTGTGTCTATTTTTCTCCTAAAATAACATAACTTATGTCATTTAAAATGACAAACATCAAACTCTTTGTTTAATGGGGTAGGATATTGTAACAACCAACTAGGGGTGTTCGCGGTCTGGATTGGATCGGTTTTGGAAGCAAAACTCATCCGATCCAATCCCTTCGGTTTGATCATGTAATCATCCATTCGGTTTAAATTTTTTTTCAAATCCGATCCGATCCAATCCAATTTTTTTCGGTTTGGATTGGATCGGTTTTCGATATTTTGAATATCCTAAAATTAGTTTCATGATTCTTGTGTAAATAACATATTTTGTATATATTGGCTTTGTAAAAAAAAAATTGAAATACAAAAATATCAGTAAACAATACTATAGTTGATGAGACGTGACTAAGTTTTTTTTTGTGTTTAGTTGATGAGTTAATGGGTCTCGAGTTTAGAAATTTTTGGGCTATGATTGGAGAAAGGACAAGTAGGTAGAGAATAATTAATATATTGGATCGATTTGGATTGGATCGGTTTTCATCAACCCATCCGAAAACCGATCCAATCCAATTAAAATTTGCGGTTTTCTTTCGGTTTCCGATTTTTCGGTTTTCGGTTTATTCGGTTATCGGTTTTTCGGTTCGGTTTTTGCGGTTTGAATCGGTTTGGATCGGTTGATGAACACCCCTACAACCAACTAGTGTTAGTACCAATGTTACTACCAATCAATTTCACCGTTAGATCGATTATGTTGATCCAACGATTATATTTATTTCCATCTTTGTATGGTTATGATTCCCTATATTTAATGTGAAAGTATTAAATATGAGAAATCATAACTATACAAAGGTAAAAATAAATATAAAGCATTAAATATGGAGAATTATAACCATACAAAGATGGAAATAAATATAACCGTTGGATCAACATAACGATCTTACGGTGAAATTGATTGGTAGTAACACTAGTTGGTTGTTACAATATTCTTCCCCTTGTTTAATATGTACATATTTTTAAAAATTTTTTATCAAAAACTATTCTTATTACCTTTCCAATTTTTGAATTCTTATTTATTATCTTAACAACTATAATTTATTATTCTTCATCTATTTATAATCTTTTAATTATTTAAAGTAGGAATTACCTTTCAGGTTGTACTAATTTGTTCCTCTCCTTGGGTCTAAAAACACCAAATGAGAACTGTCAATGACTAAGACATAAAAGTGAAATCCTTTTATAATTTGTTAGGAGCACAATACCTCACCACTTTGATTTCTTATTATATTATTTGCTTTAATAAAATATTGTTGAACTTGGACTTAATGCAAGTCTCGTTAATAGCTCCAAAATGCACATTATCTTTAAAGATTAAAAAAAAAATCTTCTAATTTGATTAATGTCTAAGCCAATATTAACAGAAGAGTTGAAATACTTTTATCCAAAGGGACACAATATATTGTGAGTGACACTTTGTCATTCTCTAAATTTATACGAAATGTGCTAAGTTTCAAATGTTTCTAGTTGCTTGAAACAATAAAAGCCCGTTTTTTTGGTGTTTTTTAAAAGTAGCTTTTATCTCTTTCTTATTTTAAAAGTGCTTTTTATAAAAGTTAAAACTATTTATATTTTTATAAAAATATTCAGTTTTTAAAAAAAAATTGACTTTTAATTTCTGCTTTTTTTATAAACTAAAATTTTTAGCTTCTAAAAAAAGTAAGTTTTTTTTGTGACTTTTGCTTTTTGTAAAAACAGATGTCCAAACGTACTTAAAGTGAGAAGTGTTTTTTTTCCCAAAAAAAAATAACTTTTGAAGAAAAAAAAGCTCATCCAAGAGGAACGGTAATATCTTTATCAGTATTATTATTTTTTGTACCAAAAAAGCAATCAAATTTTTTTTTTCTTTCATTCAATTTGTACTACACTAATATGTGGGTGATTAAGACATATTCTAGAGAATTTATGACATGGTATAATTAGTGGTGCTAAATGAACCAGGAGCCTTTATCTTGGCTCGTGAAAACCTGAGCTTACATGTCTAAAATTGGTTGTTGGCACCAGGCTTGAACTTGTATAAAAGCTCGTTTAATAAAAATTTCTCAGGCTCCAATTTAAAAGCTCGGCCCTAGAGCCTCTTATACTATTTGTAATAGCCTTTTCTTTCTTCTAAATCCATTTCACCCTTTTTTATTGGTTAAACAAACTTTTTAAATGATTTTGTTCTATATTATGCTGTTTGGATATACATTGAATTTATGAATATTTATGAAATTACTAGTCTTGTTGATTGTATATTCTGTTTGGATAAATTTTTGTTGTTTTATTTTTTTTAAACATGCTAAATCAGGCTTTTATTTTTTGTAAATAAGTCAGACCACAGGCCGATAATTATATTTATAATAAGTAACAGATTTGGTCAGGCTGACACATTTAAACACAGGCTTAGTCTTTTAATACCAAAGCTCAGCTCGGCTCGGCCCGTTAACACCCCTAGGTATAATAACTCAATATAATTAATTACATTAGTTAGATAATAATGTGTAATTAAAAGATAATTAGATGAAAAATCTAATTTAGAACTAAGTCACTTTTCAGGGTAAAAGTACAAATAATAAAAGTGTTGAGGGGTAAAAATGTAAATATGCAAAGTGGATTAGACCCAAAATAAATTATTAGAGATACAATTTAATTAGACCCAAACAACCCAAATGTCATAATGATTAGGAGATTTGAGTGAGTGTCAATGAGCGGGAAGAAATCAAAGGGCGAACATGTCTTTTCCGCCCTAGATATTTTTCTAAAGCCATAAGCCCTATTTGAATACTGTTTCTAAAAATAGTTTTTTTATTTTCGGAACAAATTTTCTAAAAATAAATTTACAATTTTTAGCTATTTTTTTGTTTTTAGAATCAAAGTTAGAGAACATGTCTGAGTTGTTTTTATTTTATGTTTTGACTTTTAACTTTCGAAATAAAAAAATACAAAAAACACTTGTTTCTATAACTATTCTATAAAATAGTTTTAAGAACAAAAAAATCGAACACAATTAAACAGACACATGGTCTCTCTCTCCTCATATTTTTTCTTCCATTTTCGGTCATCGCCATTCTCCTCCAAAGAAATCAAACTTCCATCCTTCTTTCCATTGTCTTGATCAACCAAGAAGTGAAGGAGCTAAGACATCATACTTCCAGACTCTAACTTTAAGTACTTAACATTAATTTTGTCTAATTATAATGTTCATAACTTAAAAATTTGTTTAGTAGATCACAGATCCACTAACAGTTGTTTAATTGCACCGACGTTCGTCAAAACATTGATTTGTATCAAGCTTGAACACAGAACCCGCATTCACCTGCGTCATATACGTCAGCCAATTGGGCAAGAGTCCATAGGATTTCTCCCAGTCACCATACAACTTGACAATGGCTTTCATTTTTTCCTTCCAAGCCTTCTTGCAGGAAGTGGGCTCAGGGGATTAGAGGATCCTCTATGAACCTTGAGCTTACTGAGATGTTGTTATCTCACCCCGTTTGGGGACATCATTTCAGGTACCCAGAGTAGCGGTGATGCGTCTAGAAATACTCTCAGCTATAGTGTGCAAAACCATCCAATCCATCAAGGAAATCGTAGGGAATCATTCTGATGCTGATATCTATGTAGCCCTTAAGGAAACAAACATGGATCCTAACGAAGCCCTCCATACGACACCCATCCTGCACACATCCCATCACATGAACTAAGGAGCAAGGGAGTTGAGAGGCAAAAGAAACCCATTTTCTTGAAGGTAAAGGACACTACTTTGATGGGGAAAAGGAGTGAGCTTTGCCTCCATTGAACCTTGGTGATAGGATTCTTCAAGCTTTTGAGGTGAGGTTCCATGGTTCCTCTTGGGGTTTGTTATATTTTATGAAATGAATTTTAGGGTTCCTGAGGAAAATTGAGAATTTTGGGACTTGGAGCATAAATGTTGAAATTAACACTTTAATCCTTGTCATTATGTGTAGGAGTGTGATTGGTTGTGGTGAAATTGGAGTAAGACAACTATTGAGATAAGGTTTTGCACTCTTAAAATTTCAAGAATAAGGGCAAGTTCCTGAAACCCATGAATTGAGGAATTAGGTGTAATAACTTGATGATTTATGAGTTATATATGTTGTTGATTGAATTTTCACCTTGGGAATAGGTTGAATTTGTGTTGATATTGGCACTTTGTTGAAAAAGATAAGGAAAATGGTGAAAGTCTTCAAAAGGTAAACTCTTGAACCTTGGGATTACTCCCTCTTGTTATTCCACCATACTCCATTGAAATATTGGTTTATGTGAATTGATGTGCTTTATGTATTAGAATAAGGATTAATGCTTGATATGAGAAAATATGTTTTTATTTGAATGCATGATTGAGGAAGTTCCCTGGCTCGGAGAATGTATATATGAACTTTTCTTGGAAAAATATTCGTGGAGTAATTCCTTGTGGTTAAAACCTAAATTATCTAATACATTAATGATTTTCCTATGAATTAAAAAGTTGATCCCAGAATGGGTTGTTGAAGTCAATGTCGTCCAGACCTTGAATATTATCCAGCACTTGTTCAGGTTGAGTTGTTTGCACAGGTTGTGATTAAATTGTAGTCTGATTATTGTTATTTGTTTGCACGGGGGAATTCGCCATAAGTCTTGTAATTTGAGACAT